GAAACACTTAGGAATGGAATGGCTAGATTCCATAGTAAGTGTATTTTGGGGGGAGGGTGTATGTTTTTTGCTTTTCAAAGAAATTTCCCAAGTGTTTCCCAAAGTGGCTGCACCACTTTATGTCCCCACCAGCATGCTTAAGAGGTTCAATCACTTTATTCTATATTTTGCCTATACTCTGAATGGTTGGTTGTTTTAATTTTAGCTATTCTAACAGGTATGTAGTGGTATCTCACTTTGGTCATAACTTGTATTTACCTGTTGGCTGAACAGCTTTTTATGTGCTTATTCATGCTTCTTGGTGAAATGTCCATATTTTTGGCCTATTTTATAATTGGCTTGCTTATTTTCTTATTCTGGATATGTAATTTGTTTTACTCTATGTTCTTTTTTATTGGTATTTGCCTCCTTTATTCCCCTCCTGCACATTCCAGTAGAGTATAGATATGGACATTAGGATATTATTTAAAAATACAGTTAAATTGAACCCATTTTGGGTTGACCAATGTGAACACCTACTTCCTAGCCACTCAAGCAGATACCTACCTACAGGAGGGAAGCATTCATTTAGAAAACAGAGTGTGGCCCTCGTGGTTTAGGGCAGAATGTCTTATACCCAGGACTCATCAGGTCTCTCAATGAAGAAATCCACAGGAGTGTTGAAAAGTCTTCTCTAGCAGATCCGGAGTTTGATTGGGGCCAGATAACAAAGTCTGTGGTTGTCTGTCCTGGAGAGATGCTGGAAGGGCAGGGTGAGGTCTGAACTTGCATTCAGGCTGATCAGGAGACAGTAATTGCAATGGCCCCAGAGGCCTGACATGGCAGGAATTTCATGTTCTTGATTCTCTCTGCTCGCTAGTATCAGACAGCTCTCAGTTGAATCAGCTCTTTTTGGGCTACGTGCAGATTTGTGGTTCAAGGCATAGTTGGGCAGTTTGTCTATAATTCCTCATCAAACATTCCCTGCTCCTTTTCCTGTTTGTCTGATATGGGAACTTTGGAATATTTCTTACTTCTTCTCAGAAGTAAGCACCTAGAGTAGATGATTCTAAGATGTAATTAGGGTCACCTAATGTTTTACAAATACCATCTTAGGCATATTCAAGTGTAAAACATGGTACAATTTTAATTATTATCCCCCCAATTCAGCACATCTGAGATTAAGGGCTTCCCAAGGACATTTCAGAGCCCTCTTCCAGACACCTGAGCTAACCAGACCAGACCTCAACCCAAAATCCTTTGCCTCCCACATCCCTCCCAACCTGTTCTCAACCAAACATGGCCCTGTTAAAAAACCTTATGTTCTGAGTCAAGAGACAGCACGTATACAGGGAAGTTAGTTTCAGCATTTAAAAGACAACGTTAGAGTCATATGGAATTTTTTACAAAACAATAATAGAAATGTTTTGGATGTGTACTGTGACAAGTTCAATAACTGTTGGAGAACAACAGGAAATAAACTTTCAAATTGGTATTATCCTGTGAAATCTGCAATAAATGGTTTATGAAAACTAACCATGTTGCCTTGGGTTTGTTAGTTGTTTCACCGATTTCAAAGCTGTGACTTTAAATGACCCCAGCATTTCACTGATGAAATCTAAAAGGGCTAGAGCATAGAAAAACACTTAAGATCATTTGAAAAAGAAGGTTTGTGTTCACGTGTGATCTCTACCAGTTACTATCTATGTGGCTTAGTCTCTCTGAAATTTAGTTTTTTCATCTATAAAAAGGGAATAATCCTTCCTCAGGTAAGATAGGAAATTTTAAAGACTTTGTAACAGTAAAGAAAATTCTGGTTATCACCCAGATAGACATTTTCTGTGACTAGCAAAGGGCTGTTTTTTTTTTTTTATTGTTGTTTGTTTGTTGTTTTAATTAAGAGTTAAAGGAACATATTTCATTCTAAAAACTCCTTGGGATAAATTGGACTTTGAGTGAGCTGCGATAGCTTGCAACTCCTTACTCCGTCTTGAAGTTAGCACTTCCCTGTGTTTAATCTCTTTACTCTGATGGAAGAACAGATTAAAGGAGGCAGAGGTCCAGCTTTTGCTCTCTTTTAGTGCTAGGTCCACACCAAGGAGGAAATGAAGACAGAATTGCTGAGTCACCTGTTCCCTTCAGAACACTGTAGAATCAAACTATTTCTTATTCTAAGTGTCTGCTCTTGCAGCCCCAGGGTTTAATGCTGTGCATCTCCATTTGGCCTCATCGTGGTTTACTCTGGTTATGCTCAAGACCCACATAATAAGCCACAAATGGCCAAAACCCACTTGATAACTATCTTGGTTTCTACCCAAACCTGCCTTTTTTTGTTAAGTCAGCATTTTAAACACCACTGCGTTTTAGAATGATAGCTACAATACTAGCAAAGGAACAAAATTAGTTTGTGCAGTTTCTTTCCTTTCTTTCTTTCTTTCTTTCTTTCTTTCTTTCTTTCTTTCTTTCTTTCTTTCTTTCTTTCTTTCTTTCTTTTCTTTTTGCCAGCGGGTATGTGCTAGCACATTGATCCAACTTTTGTTATCTAAACTTGAGCCAGAATATCACGTAGAATATTTTCCCTTTTATGAAGTACGTTCATACACACTATTATCATTTGATTCTTTCAGGAAGAGTGGGAGATGATTGCTCTATTTCAGAAATTTGGAAATTTCTAAATTATGACTCCCCTAAGATTTTACCTCCACTAAAGTAGAGTGGGCTAGAAAGAAAAAATTCTGCTGATTTTCCAACAAACTTCATTGCTTCCAGGGGCTGGGGAAGGATAATGAAAGGTCCTCAGAAAAGGCACATGATCCACTCATGGATGGGAAGACTTGTACTGGGAAAGGTGCAGGACCCCCCATGCCCCTTGGCTCTTCCAGGTCACAGAGACATCCTGAAGACATAGCAGCTGAGTGTCACTTCATCAAGGAGAATTACCATTGCTTCCCCCACTTACTGCTGAGGAGCAGCACAACATAAGAGTCAGAGCATGGGCTTTGATGTCACAGCATCTCTGTCCTAGTTCTACCACCTGTGGCCTGTGTGCTCTGGGGGAAGTCACCTAATCCTTCAAAGTGTGTGTTTCTGTAAAATGCCAAGGAGAATAAATGAGATAATGATCTTTATAAAAGCTGGCACTGGGTCTGTGGCAGAGTTCTTAAGGAACACAGAAGATGGGATGGAAGAAATCTGCAACATCCTGCATTACAGCTGATGGTCTGGCTTTGCAAAGTTGGATCTGTCTGGCCAAAGACAATCCACAGATGTGTTTTGTTTGGCCCACCTAGTACCTAGGATGTCAAACAACTTTTTTAAGGCAAAGAAAATAAGGCCAGGAATGCCTTGACCATAATCAAAAGGTGATGTGTATTTGATTTTTTTCTTTCAATGTAGTTAGTTGGTGCTTTGTTTCAGCATCTTCTGCTAAGTTTAGAGGTATGGCAGACATCTCCTAATCCTGTTACCTTAGCACAAGTAAAGTATGAGGGAGATAGAGAGTAAGAGTGACTGCCTGCTAGAGGGGAAGACAGTGGGGCTTTTATGCCAAATTAGTTATTTCTTCATTTCTTTCAGTTGGCATTCTTTCTTTATTTCATTTTATTGGAAGACCATTACTGCAGCTCTATATAAACATGGCTGAGAGTGAGAAAAGACTTTGTTGTGAGAATATTTTTCATGATTTTGTTTTTCAGAATGAATTAAAAAAACAAAGGATGGTGGCTTGGCTGGGGATGAGAATGGAAGGAGAGAAAGAACAAATATATAAAAGCATATCATTTTTATATGTAATGATAGCTGAACCTTGCATTCCTACAAAGAATCGTTTGCACCATTCAGGAGTCCTTTCCATTCGTGAATTGTGGTTCAATAGCTCAGAAATTAAATTGCTTCCTCTTGGACCAGACTATAGAGGTTGATCGCCTCATACTGCAGACAAGTTACAACCTTTCAGAGTTTCTCTCCCCAGTGTAGGTGGCAGTGGTATTGCAATGCTCACCCAGGCTTCTCTTGAATTCCCAGGAACAGAGCATCAGATGCTGAACTTTCAATACAGTCTATACTACCATGCAAGACATTTCTTTCTGGGGGTCAACAATCCCCCCACCCTACCTTTTTTTTTTTTTTAAATAATTGCAGAAAACAAGGTACATGGCAAAGAAAGATGGTACCTGGCAAGGTAGATGTGGAAAGAGCTCCTTTTCACCACATTACTATTGACTCCATTTGAACCAGACCTCTTATCATCTTGCTGAGAAAAAAGAAGCGGGTCCTAGACCCATGAATGAAGAGAAGATAAGGTCTACTCTTTGCTGATCCAATTGGGATCAGTAGGCCAGCAAGAGCACTTCCCAGGATACCACTCTATAAGGGGCATAAAACATCACTGGGACTGTTACAAGATGGAGAAAATCTCATACTAGGATTCCTTTCAGAGAGAAGATTGTTAAGTGTTGTGAGAAATACTTTGAGAAGCTGCTTGGAATGGGGGGTGTGTTGAGGTAAGATTCCAAAGGGAAATGCCCAAGGAACAAAACATGGTTGCTATACTGCCTTCTTAAAAAAACAAATTTTTTTTAATGTTCATTTATTTTTGAGAGAGAAAGAGACAGTGAGAGAGAGAGAGAGAGAGAGAGAGAGAGAGAGAGAGAGAGGGAGCGCGCAAGCAGGGGAGGGGCAGAGAGAGAGGGAGACAGAATCTGAATCAGGTTCCAGGCTCAAAGCTGGGAGCACAGAGACCAACACGGGACTCAAACTCACAAACTGTGAGATTATGACCTGAGCTGCAGTCAGATGCTTAACTGACCGAGCCACAGGAGCCCCTGCTAAGCTGCCTTCTAAGAGGAAAGGTTCTGCTGAAGCCAAGAGTGTGTTTTGCAGAGTGGAGTGTGTGAGTTTGGAACCAGTGCAGAATTGTGAGGACATTACAGAGACTCCCTGTGCCACCAGGGGTCCTCCTGCTCTGTACTTTCCCTTGGAAGGACTCTCCCAAACTCTAGCCCCTTCTATGCCCAAAGTACCTTGGCCATGTGACCCCCTGGGGGCAGATGAGTCTTGGTTGGCCAAAGCAGCCTTCGTCTGGAGCAGGTCTTGGCATTCGGCAGCCTGGAAGGGAATACGGGCAGGCAGGTCCTGGATCTGTGTTGTAGAAAAAAGGAAAGGCAGAGGGTTTAGGGGAATGTGGACTGGGTTGTCCAACTTCCTCTGTTACCCTTCTTAGAGTTGCAAAGAGCTCGATTCAAGCTACTGAAGGATGAGTTGCTAGAATTCCTACTCTAATCACTATGCCCTCTTAGACCCTCTTAGATCTCCACAGGAGAGATCGCCCTCTGACACATAGCTCATCCATTCACTGTGTATGAGAAGAGTTCAGAAGGCTGTGTCCTTATATGCCTTTGTGGCCATTTCTTCTCTTCCTCCCACCTGGGAAAGAATTCTAGAATTCTCCCTCCTTTCAAAGCATAGGGTAGAGTAGCAAGGGGCATGTCATAGGTACTGGTTCCCTATTTGCCAGTAGTGCTTTCATGCGATCCTCAGGTCCACTTGGCCTAGAGGGAAACTTGGGCAATCGTGTTGTGCTGTGTGCCCATGGCTTCTTACCCACCTGGCTTCTTGGACTTCCCTCACTGAGTGCCCCATGCTTCCTGCCCATGGAGAGTCTAAGCCATGAGTACCAGGGTATCACTTTCAGGTCTCAAGCCTGAGTACAGAGAACAATACGTATTTATCTGATTAGGCCTGTATGAGATTTTAAAACCAAATTTAAATGATTATAGAATAAGCCCTTCTTTCTTATAACCAATGTCTTATTTTTATCCTTTGGCTAATTAAAAGACTTGGTGTAGAAAACAGAAGAAAAATATAATCTTTTTTTTTTTTAATTGACATGTGTAACCCAGATGTCAGCTCAGACCTACTTGTAGTTTGAGAAAACACTTAAAGATTTTAATTGATTTCAGACTGAACTAAAATAATTGCCACTTATACAGCTTTCTTTCTGACAGCTAATCCAATTTTACAATAATGTGGTATAGTGGTCAGATTAGCTTCCATCTGGAGACATGATTAATTCAGGGCATCACATTATATGAAACTCTGAAGATTTGAGGTACATACAGAAGAGAATGATAAGAATGATTTGAGGGATAGGAAACCATATTATATAAAGAAGGTTCAGGAATTAGTTACCTTCTTCTGGGAAAAAGTAACACATTCTTAAAAGGGAATTGTTAGCTATCTTAAAATATTTGGAAGAAAACTGGGTTTATTTTGTCCATATCAGGAAAGCGTGATTATATCTAATAAATAGGGAGTTACAGACAAATGAGTTTGACTCAATATAAGGAAGACAGTTTCAGCAATTGGTATCCCCCAGAAATGCAGTGTCAAAGAAAGAAGTGAGTTACCCTACCCTAAAATCATTCAATCAACAAATATTTTCTGTGACTAAGTTCTAGGCACCATTTTAACACTGAGATGTAGTCATGAATAAACTCCAGAAAGGGCCTGTTAGCCATGTGTCTGGTATGCGATAGATCTTCTTAACTGAAGAGAAAAGCTGAATTATGATATTTCTATGGGATTTCTTCCTACTTTAAAATTTGATGCTCTCATTCATTTGAAGAAAACAATAACAAATCTATTGATCACTTAGCATTAAAATTAGTCCTTTCCAGACAATGATTATTGCCTATTATTTTCCATCAGTGCTAATGAATTGGCTTATTGTATAAAAATAGGCATTCAGTTAGATCTGGATTGTGGCTTTAGCAACCAGGAGGAAGGCAGCAATGGTAATGAGTGTTCTATCATGGTAGCTCAACAGTCTTCTCTTCCCACTGTTCCAGTCAATCAAGATGTTTTTAATCTAACCGTTCATTCCAAACACATTAACTTTCACCCTAAACCTCATACTTTGGTATGTTTAATAAAATGTGCCTTCCATATCTTCATTCAAATCCCTGGTAGAATTGTCAGAGAGAGAAGGACTAGAGTATTCCTGTCAGCTTTCCATTACCTGCTAATCAATGTTTCTGTGCAACTGGGAATCCAACTTGCTAACTGTAGTATTACATATGCAATTAAAAAAAATCTTATTAACACAGATACTGTGAAAGATTTTGAGAAATGACTTATAAATACTAAGGCACTGTGTTTTAGGATGTTTCATTCTGCTCATTACAAAAGTATGATTTGTTACCAAAATGCTTTAATCTTTTGGAAGTCACCATTTCATTTCCTGCATGCTCACAAGTTATTTAAGAATTTACTATAGCGATTTTCCACAATTCAAATGTACTTTTTTTTTTTTTTAAATTAGAACATCTAGAGTCTTTGGTCACCCATGCATGCTAGCTCTCTCCTCTAGGGTCTCTAGGTGTGAAATTATTTTCCCGAATACTTTTTTTCCTGAATATTTTTTATTTTGTTCATGTCCTTTTATTAAAAGTTTCTACTAAGAAGATTTGAAAGTTTATTCCAAGCTGAATTTAACAGAATAGCTGTATTTTAACTATGTTATAAGATGTTGCTTGAATTGAATTGATACTAGGAAATAAAGAGAGCTGTTATAGAAATAAATAGTAAAATTGTGTTAACTCTCCTAAACATATTAAAGACCTTACAAAACCATTAATAGATGGAGAACTACCCAGTGCTACTACCTTCTTTCCATCATTCCCATAGAAGTTTTATCAGTTACTGAATAAATTTTCACTTTAAAACCAGGTTTCCACTTCCAAGTATTATATTGTTAATTAAAAAAAGACAAGAAAAAAATGGGGACCATTTATCTGGTATTAGCAGTTTGGATTTTAAAAACTTCCAAAAATTATTAAAATTTGTTTTTCTAAATTCTAGGAGTATCGTCTAACTTTTGTGTTTATTGTCTCTTTATCCCCACGCATTAGAACATCAGCTTTCTGAGGGATGGCACACACTTTGTCTTGTCCTGTGCAGCCAGGCTCTAGAACAATAACTGATACAGAATAGAGGACGATATCTGATACAGAATAGGAGACAATAAATGCATTTTGACTAACTGATTCATGGTTATATTCTCTGGTTATTTAAAAAATCAAGACCATGCAGTTGTTGTTTCCCATGGAACATATGACTCCTTCTTTAGCCTACAATTTTCTCTTCCTGGTCAGAATTAAGCCTCAAGTGCCAGTTTTTCTTGTTACTTTTAAAATATTTTTAGAGAAGAGTATTTATCCAGGCAATTCATAGAAAGAAAACATGAAAGTGTTTGCCCTGACCTCATTCCACCTCAAACTCTGTAGGAGACACAGGCTGTGGGACAGGACCACTATACGTGAGATTTTGTCTCAGACTGGTTCTCCCCCTCAGCCCAGGGGACTTGGTGAGGCTTAGTGCCCGCAGATGGCAAGTCAGGAGGGAGGCAAGGCAAGTTGACTAGTTTGCCAGCCCTTGAACAAGTAGAAAGTGCCCCCTTAGAAAAAATGATTTTCCAGCCTATTATTGAGAGAGGAGTATAAGGTTGGATTTCAACAGATCAGAAGGGGAAGAGGATGGGGCTTTGGGATCAGACAGGCCTGAGTTCAGATCTTCCCTCTACCATTTGTGGACTGTGTACCCCAAATCTCTGATTCTTGGTTTCTCTTCTTTACATTTTTCATGAGGACCAAATAAGACTGTGTATGCAAGGCACCCAGTACAGCAGTTGGCACACAAAAGCTTTCAAAATGAATTCCATTGTTGTAACAACCAGTCAGAGAATATAGTCAGTGCTGTCTAGCTAACCCAACATTCCCTGCTCATTATCTTTACTGTCCTCAAGAAGCTTAGAGGATGCATTTGGGAGATATCAGTGAACAAGACAAAAAAGAAAATCACTGTCTTCTAGGGAACCTAAATGAAGCATCGATCCCCAGAATTCTTAAATTTTTCACAAATCACAGTTTTTTGTTTTTTAACCTCACTATGGTTTCCTTAGTTCCAAGCATTATCTCCTTTAAATACCTTCAACAAGCCTTCTAAACTTGTCTCCTTTCATCCTGCCTCCAGCTCCACCCCACGGTAGAAGCCAGAGTGAATTCATTAAAATCCTAATCTGACCAAATCATTGCTCAATTGAAATCCCTTCAACAGCTTCCAAGTGCCCCAGGGTTACCATCTAATTTCCTTCAAACCCCACCTTCTTCCTTGACCCCTTCTTCTTGCCTGGTCTGCAAGAGCTGCACTACCTATTCCTTCATTCTGGACTTCTTCCAGCTCTGCTCAGGGGCCTTGCTCTCTTCCTCACACCAGAGCACTTGTGCTTGTCATTCTCTGTGCCTGGAGTCCGCCTCCTTGCTTTCTTTTATTCTTGCTATTCTGGATGTTCATCCTTCAGGTACTGCTTAAATGTCGTTTTCTCAGGGGAGCCTTTTCTGAATAATCCCATGGATTGGTTAAGTGCCTCTGTGTTGAGCTTCCCTAGCACTTCAGACCTCTCCTCGAGTTTACCTCAGATTACTGCTAATGTCTGTTTGTTTGTCTGTGTCCCATAGTGCCTTATAAGAGCTGTATCACAGGACTTTTGATCACCTTGTTCTCTATTGTATTCTAGGACCTAGCACCTGAGGGGTCCAGAGTAGACACTCACATATTGATGTTACATGAATCAATGAATAAAAACATAAATAAGTGAATGAAATGGATTTTTGGAGGGCCAGCAACCCAGATGGAATAGGGAAGGTAGAAAACTTCATGGACATAGACAGAAATGATTTGGTGAGCTGGGAAATGCTTTTTCGCCCTCTCTTATCCAAAACATGTAGAATGATCATAGGGAGATAAAAAAGAATAATTTAGTTGCATAACGCATTTTCCATTTCTATTTTGTATCATTCATAAAATTTAAATGATAGATTGATTTCATCTGCTTTGTGGAAGAGGCGAGATATTCCCTTGACTTTGAACATACCTCCCAGAAATACCTAACTTCTGATTCCTAAATATTGGGTATCTCCAAAAGAACACTGGTTAGAGAACATGCTGCCTATTATGGACTAAATTCTGGTCCCTCCACCCCAACATTTTTATATGCTGAAATCCATGCCTCCGGTAAACCTCAGAATGGGACTCCATTTAGAGATACGGCCTTCAAAGAGGTGATTATAGTTAAATGAAGT